CCATCAGCACAGATTATGCCCACTCTGACGCTTTGCCACGCAAGTTGGACATGGCATAGGCCTCGCTTGCCGCACTTGTAGCAGATCACATCTTCATTGCCTAACTCCATAGGACTTCTCGGCCGACGGCCTGTAATAGGCTGTCGCCGAGACGCTGTTATAGGATTTTTCCTCAACTAAGGCAATGTCAATTGCCTCTTCCATCGTCGATCGCACCTTTCTAAAAAGGGCCTGACGCGATAGGCCGTGCCGTAGTCCGTTTATGAACGTGGCCACCTTGATACGTTCCAGTATCGTTCCACATTAATGGACGCCAACAGCGAACGCATCTCCTGCAAAAATTCTTGCAGAGAGCGTTTCGCCTGTCGTGCTCCAAAGAAGCGCGTCATAAGCAACACTTCGTTGTTAGGCGGCTGATACATGGCACGAATCTTTGTTTTAAAGATCGCCCATGATGAAAATGAATCAGCATTTGCCATCAGCGCAGAGTATGCCCACTCTGACGCTTTGCCACGCAAGTTGGACATACCATTCTGGTGTCGTCTTCGATGATCTGCGCCACTCCACATTGCTCAACTGCTAATAGCCAGTGAACAATCGTGTGAGGGCTAGTTCCATCGAACTTCGGAGGGTCCATCCGAATGGGCCTCGGTTGAGCAGGTCGGGCAGAGAGCGTCTCAACAGTTCTGTTGAGCGCCTCATTCCATGCCTACTCAAGCCTAAGCTCATCCTGAGTCTTATTGATGGACTCAACCGTAGCTTGGCTGTTTACCTCGGACGCGTTTCTACTCTGTCCGAGCACAAACGCCTCAAATTGCTCCAACTGAGCAACATGTTGCTCAGGAGGACAATGCAAGAGGTTGGCCAGGGCTTGTTCACCAAGTCCCTGCGCCATATGCTCTGCCAACTCCCTATGATGTTGGAAGAAGTGAGAGAATTCACTTAAGTCCATATTAAGGACCATCTTAACCGCACGCACGCTCAGAGAGACGGGTCGTGGAAAGGACTACTAGTGCTACCAAGTGTAGACGGGCACTTCTACGAAGTTGCCTCGTGCTACTAGCACACACCTTCAGCACAAGCGAGAAGCGGTTAGACCGTCTTCTCTTCGCGTGTGAGGGTGATTATGCGGTTAGTCGACTGCTTAAGCAGTCGTATCATCAGTTGCCTCTCGCTTAATGCGAGAGTGCAACGAGCTTCTAAGACAAGAAGTCACCGACGTCACGCAGAAGCTTTATCAGCTTCTCGTGCGTGGTGCTTCGGTGTTTAGCAGATTCAAGACTGAGCTATATTTAATGAATTATGATTAAATATAAACTTAACTACTGATTTGCTATATATATATAGATCGGATACGCGACTCTTTAAAAGCGTATCCTGACGCATGAACTTAAATCTAGATTTAAGATCGCAACTGACGTCTTTCTGAGACGTCGCGATGCCTAGCTTCAACTAGCGTCATCCCTTCCCATGTGAATCCATAAATGGATATCACATTCAAGAGAAGGGATCGCGTTTGTGTAGTGCACCCAAGTGACAGGTCAAAAGTAATCATGGATACTTTTAGACCAAACATTAAGTATATTACTTAATGTTTACGTGTAACTAGATGCCCCGTTACAGTAATCATAACGCATTTTACGTTCGAGACGAACATCTGTCACGTCGACACTTGCCCGTAGGGCCCACATGCTGCTTAAACGTCGCGCATAATGCGCCCAGCGGTTAAATGCCGTGTCTTCTTCCTTCTCGATTTCCCCCACGAACAGAAAGATAGGGACACCCTTTAGAGGAGGGACTGATGCATCGCGCACTTGCCTGTTGAGGCGCGCCAAGTATTGGCTTTGCGTGGTGGTGTGGGGTTCCAGGTGCCGTTGTTGGAGGGCCGTTCGCTTAGAAACATCCGCGGGTGAAATGGCCTTAGGCCTAATGGAACAGCCTGAGAGGGAATGCCCAGAAGCCTCCTTTAGGTGTTCTTCCACTGTAGGTGGTTTGAATCTATACTGTCGGTGGTCCTGAAGCCTTGCCATATTCTTCGTCCGGCGCTTGGCGCCTTCCTCTTGATCGATGGTCTGCTGCTGCTGCTCGTCGAGTGGGTTAGTAACCATCGCTGTTGACGATACGTCAGGCGGGTCACGTAACGCTGCTACCGCATCTATAGCACCACGTTCAGGGAACGGATTCGTTGCATAATTACTGTCATCTTCACCCGTAATGGTGGTTAAGGGGGCCAATTCAACGAAGATGACGCCAGCTGGAACTGGGCGTCATGGTGACGCTTCGGAAAGACGTCATCAGCGAGCTCAAATATATTCAAGCTCGCACATAAGAAGACGCTTTTAGGGAGACGCGTATCCTATCTTTCATATTTGACCATTCAGTAGTTATATATATATAGTTAATATCTATCTAAATAAGTCAGTCTTGAATTAACTACATCATACTCACCGCGAGCAGGAAGACTGGAAACAGGTTCCTCGAAGCAGTTAGGTGCTTGTTTATAAGTTCGTTGCGCGGTTAGCTCCAAAGCGACCGGAAACGTTTGGTACTGCGCTTTAAGCGCCGACCAACACCACCATCACCGCACGCGGAGGTACATTAAGACGGTAAAACGGCTTCCTCACGCTGCTCGAAGGTGTGTGCTTGCGTAGTACGTGGCAGCGTTCCGAAGTGCCCGTCTACAAGTGGACTTAGTAACGCCATCTCAGCCATGCTTTGCCTGTAGTAGCCAAAGTTTGCAATACCTTCAGTAAAAAGTGGCCGTGTCACCAGCTACGCGGCTCTCATCGACATTTTCGCTGGACCGTGATATATTGACGAATTTACGACAACACATAAGCTTTCACATGACCAATGCGACGGACTGAAGTAGGAAGGAAGTCTGTATGAACTCTTGATGGCGGATTTGATGCCAATCCAATCGGTGTAAAATTTGTGCAATGGGATATCAAATCCTACAATTTTCCAAGCCATGCTTTCTTCTTGGCCAGGGACTCGCGCACAGCTTACTCCTGCATAGCACTAACTCCGCGCTCTTGAACTGCTTTAAAGTAGGGAAAATTCGTTCACGAAAGTTATCAGATAACAGATCATGGAATATTATCTGTCATAGTATGGGGACGAACTCGGGACTGAAGATTTTTAGCAGTCCAAACAAATTATCAGTAAGGTAGTATCATTTTGGACAGTTTTTACTGTAGTGCATCGAAGCGACCTAGCTGACATTAATTCACTTTTCACAATTCCTTCTTCTAGCCACTACAGCTCACAACAACCTTGGTCATCCACCTATCCGATCAGTTGTGGCTTTGTCTATCTTGTCATTTAGCGGACCTTTTCCATGTACAATAGATGAAATTGTGCCGACCTATGGTGATATTTGATATGGATACAGTTATCGCATTTGGTAGGGTCCATCTTATATGTATGTACCAAACACAGTTTTATACTAATGGCGGCTGATGATGGAGACTAAACTGCGAGCGACAGCGTGCGTGTAAGACTTAGATAGCTCATGGACAGACTTTAATGATGTCACAGTAGTGTAATGCGCCGGCAAGGACTTAAGTATTCTAGTGCAGAGGGGACGGCGAGAAGGGACTTGGCCTTTCTATCACAAGCGACGGGTGGAGACGCATTTAGGGAAAAGTGACTGAATTGTTTACATTGTGTACGTATGGGGCGGAGCTACATCTTTTACATATGTTGAGTTTTGTATGCATTGCGTCCAACTTGAGGTGGTCTGATGGGCTGCCTGTAACCCTAAACAAAAGAGAAGAGGGGTCTATTTTAGGCTTCTCTTCAATTGGGGAGTTTTTTGTGCTTTAATTATGGGGTTGACCTCGTTCGGGTGTGTTGCATGTTGTTTATTGACCTCTTTCTTCTCCTCACTCTCGGTTAATAACGAGGAATTGAAGCAAAAAAGGAGAAAGAAATGATGGGGTTTTAGTGATGCATGTGAAACTTTGATGTTTGTATTGATAGTGTGCTCCGCTCCATTGAATGCTTTGTTTTCATTCTAATCTATTGCACCGGTGCCTCTTGTTACCTCGTTTTGTTGCTTAGAGTGTATCAGTATCGATGCATTGCGTTCCGGTCCCATTCTTTGCTTATCTTCGCGCTAGTTGTCCGTGGTTCATGCACGTGGCGTTACTTGATGTCAGTTTGTTGAGTCTTTCTTAGGTTTTGCTAAGCACTTGTCAAGCATCGGGGAGCACAAAGGAAGAATCGGGTATATCAAGTTTAGTGCAAGGTGTGCTGGAGGAGCAGAGAAGCTGCTGCGAGCAAGTCCACGTGGTGACGGTGTGCGTTCTTTCCAAGGGTTGCCATTCGACTGTGTCTGAGCTTCAATTACCGGATGCAGTCACGATGCTTGCAACAAAGGTTCGCCCTTGTCCATTGGGAGACGTAAGCGCTGTCATCATACGGCTTTGCTGCGACTTTTTCTCAGATCGTGCTACTTGGTTGCCCCGTGGTTTCACAGAGTGTCCGGTGTTTGGTTTATCCTCGTGAAAACCCCAATGTTTGTCTGACTGGCCGCCACATTCTAGATTGAGTGCATGTGTTACGGTTAGTGCAAGTCTTCACTAGCATTTTTTGCGAGGAAAAAGGGTCATAATACAATGACAACAATGTAGTAAAATCATCGACTTACAGTATCACCATATTTTGCGTGGCGGGCGATTCGGGAAAAGTAGCAGGTCTAGCTCCTGTCGAAAATAGGTCTTTACAGCTATTCACACGTTGTCGTTATTCTCGAAAATCGATTGAGCGTTTAAACCACTTTATCAATATGAGTAATTTAAAGACGGACGTAAAGTTATAGAGTGCATTAATTAAATAAAAGTAAAAACATTTTGTCAATTCCAATGCGCAAACAATTTTGACCAAGCGTCCGTATTGTGTCATTTCCGCGTCTGATGCTACGTCGCTCGTGTCTGACGTGTTTAGGCGCCGCCAGACGCCACCTCTCGACGCATTCAAGGCCCAATTATCGTCGTATGATCCTCGAATCACGCGTGTATGACGTGGCAGAGCAGACGCCATTGCAAGAGGCGCCAGCTTTGTCCCACGCCCTGCAGAATCGCGTCTTGCTCAAGCGCGAAGACTTGCAGCCCGTTTTCAGCTTTAAAATCCGTGGTGCTTACAACAAAATGGCCAATTTGTCAGACGAGGAGAAAACAGCCGGTTGCGTATGCTGTTCAGCTGGTAATCACGCACAGGGAGTAGCACTCTCAGCCCGTAAGCTCGGGATACACGCCAAGGTCGTGATGCCATTGGCAACGCCCGACATTAAAGTAAACGCTGTGCGCCATCATGGCAAAGAATTTGTCGACATTATTCTCCATGGCAAGACGTTTGACGATGCTGCAGCTGAAGCTCGGAGACTGGTGCAAGACGAGAAGCTCACGATCATTCTGCCTTTTGATGACCCACATATCATTGCTGGACAGGGAACCGTTGGCATGGAAATTCTGCAACAGACCAGTGGATCTCAAGATAAGTTGGACGCCATTTTTGTCCCAGCAGGTGGAGGAGGCATGCTTGCGGGGATTGCGGCGTGGGTCAAGCAGATCCGACCGAGTGTCAAGGTTATTGGTGTTGAGGCGGCCGATGCCGCAGGTATGACGGCGTCGCTGGCAGCTGGACATGTTGTGGAACTGGACCATGTCGGACTGTTTGCAGATGGCGCGGCGGTGAAGCGTGTGGGAACAGAGACATTTCGAGTGTGTGCCGACTACGTGGACGAGATGGTGACAGTGTCGACCGACGAGATCTGTGCTGCTATCAAGGCAGGTTTTAAGGACACGCGTGCGATTCTTGAACCCGCAGGCGTGCTGTCTATTGCCGGTATGACGCAGTACGCCAAGACGCGCGGACTTTCAGGGTGTCAGTTTGTTGCTGTGACGTCTGGAGCTAACATCGATTTTGCCCGTCTACGCTTTGTGTCTGAGCGTGCGGACTCGCACGAGAGACTGCTTGCCGTGGAGATTGACGAGACCCCAGGTGCTTTCATGCGCCTCAACCGCCGACTAGACGCCGTGGGAGTTCGTATTACGGAGTTCAGCTACCGCTTCGGTGACGCTCAAAAAGCACGTGTGCATCTGTCGTTTTACTCGCCAAGTCCCGACCATGCAACTGCTGCTATTCGTGAGCTTCAGGAAGAAGAGTCTCCGTTGGGCTTCGCAAACGGTAGCGCCTACCAAGTGTTGGATCTGTCGGACAACGAGCTGGCCAAGGTCCACACGCGACACTTGGCTGGTGGCCGAGCTCGTGGTGACGTACAAGATGAGCGGCTATACCGCTTCGAGTTTCCAGACCGCCCACGCGCTCTGGCCACATTCTTGGAGGCGCTGCAGAGCACGTGGAACATCAGTCTATTCCACTACCGCAACCACGGCGCCGATGTCGGTCGGGTACTGGTGGGCTTCCAAGTTGCTGAAGAGGACCAGAAGCGCTTTCAGACTTTCCTGAACCAATTGGCTTATGTCTTCTACGAGGAAACAGACAATCAAATGTACCAGGAGTTCATACACTAAACGAAAAGATTGCATAGAGATAAACCTCATAGAGATGACGTGGTTGTGAATCAAAATGTCTTTACCTGTTGATATAGGAGGCTGCAACAATCGAATGACAAACAGTAACACAAAAAAGCTATACGCAAGCGATCGATAAAGCTGATGCGACGTAGCGAGCTATGAGTTCGCTTGACTATGACTACCTGTAGCCGACCTAGATTGCTATTCAGTGACTCAGAGCCGCTGTTGCACACTTACTGCCAAGTGGAGAGCAACACGTTCCGCATACCCAACTCTCTAATCCGAATCCGAGTCGGAGTCATTCAGTAAGTCAAATACATTGGCTATTTTCGCCGGTGCCGGCGCCGAGGTCTTGGTCTTGAGAGGCTCCATACGCTTCGGACGAGGTCCCGACTTCCGTGCCGAAGCATCCTCCTTTGCGGGAGGGCCACGACCACCACCGCCGTCAACGGAGCGACGGCCGCCACGGCCGCGACCACGACCACCACGGGAAGTATCATCACGACTGCTCTTGCGCGTCGACACGACAGCCTGAGCGTCAGTCGTAGAGTCAGCCTTAGCCTTGGCCTTGGCTTCTTTGGCTTCTCTAGCTTCCTTCGCCTTTGCTTTCGTCTCTTTCATCTTTGCCTTGCGCTCAATTTCAGAAGCCTTCTTACGTTCCAGATAAGCGCTTTCATCGCGTGGTTTCGCCTCGCCAAAAATGCTAGGCATGTGTGTATCCAGATCCTTCTTTTCTGGAGAAGCGGTGCGTGGCAAAAGCGACAGACGTGGGCGTTCTCGACGAGCATCGTTGCCCTCACTGCACAAAAGATCACAACGTTAACATCCCCGCTTCCAACCATATCGTCCAATGATTGGATTCAAAAGAAACATACCGAGGGCGATCGTCCGACGGACGGTCATTGCGCTTTTCGAACCTGCCGTTATCGCGCGGCTTACGGTCACGTTCGCGGACCAGCGCCACGTCCATCTTAACAGAGCGGCCATCAAGGTTACGTCCATCCAACTCCAGAGCCTGTAGGAGCTTCTCCTTGTCTTCAAGCTCCACGTAAGCAAAGCCCTTGGGACGATTCTCATAGTCACGCGGGAAACGAATGTCCCTGATACCGTCCGGTCCTATAAAGTCCGCCAGGTCGTCCTCTGTCAGACGGAATGACAAGTTGCCCACGAAAAGCTACAGCAAAACACCACAAGATTCAGTTTATAGCCAGCCCCATTACTTACTCGTCCACTCCAAAACAACAGTCTAACCTTCCATGGACCGACATCTGGCACGGGGTTCTTTGGACGCTCCTCACGTTGCTCACGAGACCCATGACGGTCTTCGTGTGACCCGCGCCGGTCGTCGTGTCCTCCCCGACGATCTCCATAGCCTCCTCGACGGCCATCACGTTTATCTTCATGATAGGGACTACGACGTGGCTCTGATATATTGCAATATTGCAATAGCAAAAAATATGTCAATCTTTTTCTCTCTGTCTGTCATACAAACTCCTGCTCGTCACGTGACAATTCCAAAATTTCATACCATCGCGTTGACGTTCCGGGGGATGGCTTTCTTCCTCCCCCTTAATGGGCTGCTGCAGCGTTTCTGTTCTGCTTAGAATACAGTAGAATGTACAGTAAGAGACGCGTGTCAATGGACGAAAGAACAAATCGATGCTTGCAAATTTTACGAAGGAATCTTGGGGGCCACTGGAAGTGGCGGCAAGTCCGTATCGTCATCATCGGCCCAGGAGCTAGTGCCACTACGCGCAAAGCCCAAATTCTGTGCCATAATGCTGTCTCTTGCTTGGTGATCTGCTTTTTGTCTCTGTCTGAAGTAGTTTTTGTCGTGGTTTTTGACTTAATTTTTGACTTGATTTTTATACCTGATATAGAACTGAAGATAGAAAATCGAAATAACAGTTATGGAAATGATATAGGGATGTAGTGTGATGTGACATTTGATAGAGCGTCTTCTATGAAATGCTAACCGGTGGACAAGACTGAACGAGAGCTTTTAATTATAGCGACTTTTTGCAACCGCGAGGTTTTACGCTGACCTAATTGTCAAATTTTGATGCATACTTGATCGTAAAATGTTCACCACAAGCAAAAACATTAGCGTCTCATAGCTGTAGTTGCCCCGGAATTACTACAATTACATTATTGAGATCAGAAACAAAAGCAGCAAGTGATATATATTAAAAATCTCATATGAACATAGTTGTCTTATCTCAAATTTATCGTTCCTCTACTCGTAAGCAATAAGTTATAGTCAATTTACCTGTCAAGTAAAGACAAAATTACTTTTCGAAAAAGTTGCTTAGCTGAAATTTATTGCAATATTAGCAAGAGTTTGCGCTCACCACCAATCAAATGCGGCCAATCATAATCCTGCAACAACAATTGCTGGTGTCTAGCCACTTGACGTCAATAAACTGAGCAATGGCAGGAGGTGGCAAGACTATCAGGAACACGGCGGGCAAGCAAATTCTGCGTGCTACAAAGAAAGTAACAAAGCAGACGACCAAGCAGAGTCGTAAGGTGACAAGCATTGCAAAGCCCAAGCGACTCAAGGCACATGTGCAGCGTGCGATCAAGGCCAAGGAGCCTAAGCTAGTAGAAAACACGAAAAACTTGCTGGTACTGCGTGGCAACAAGACAAATGAGGAGGTAAATGAGTTGCTACGTGACTTGCGTATGATCAAGGCGCCGTATGCCAAGTTTATGGGCAAGAAGAATGACATCCACGTGTTTGACGATGAAAATAAGGTGGAGTTTTTGACGCAGAAGAACGATGCAAGTCTGTTTCTCATTGGTAGCAGCACTAAGAAGCGTCCAAACAATATCGTGTTTGGCCGCACGTTCGATGGTCACATTCTCGATGTCTTGGAGTTCAGTTTTTCCAATTTCAAGGCTATCAGTGCTTTCAAGTGCAAGAGCAAGAAAGCACCCGGCTCGAAGCCCGCCTTTGTATTTACAGGCGACCAGTGGGAGAGTGTTGAGGCATTTATGAAGCTCAAAAACATTCTGCTTGACACGTTTCGTGGTGCAATCGTGCAGAATGTGAATATCAAGGGATTAGACCACGTCATTGTGTGCACGGCCTGGAAAGAGACGGTCTCCTTCCGTTCGTACTCGATCGACTTCAAGAAAGGTGATGAGTCTCACCCGCGTGTAGAGCTGGACGAGATGGGTCCACGCTTTAATCTACATTTTCGTCGTACTAAGTTTGCATCGTCTGACTTGATGAAGGCTGCCACCAAGAAACCCAAGGGTCTAGCTCCCAAGAAAATTAAGAATATCTCTCGTGACGAGCTTACAGGCGACAAACTTGGACGTATTCACATGGACCACCAGGATGTTTACTCGATGCAGAGCCGCCGGGTGAAGGCACTGCGCAAAACACCTGCTGACCTTAAGGCTGGTAAAGACGCTGGAGACGAGACGGGTGACCTCAAAATGGAACACTAATGTATAGATCAGGAGTAGCTTTACACGAACAACACGTTTGCTTTTTAACACATTGCACAAACGCGCAGCTTGGTCGTGCTAATACTCTTTCTCATTTACGTGCGAGTCAGAATCCACCCAAACCTCCGTTTCAATGCTTTTGAAGGCGTCGTTACGGGGCTCGGATGCTCTGTCGGACACTATGTCGGATCCGAGCCTCTACTGTAGCAACTTGGTCAGGTGGTCGAAATCCGTTACAAACAAATCTGCACCTTCCTTCACAACGTCACGAGTGACAACACCACCGAAACCGACAAAAAGATCAGCAGGCGGACGTGCCTGAAGATCCGTAACACCGTCGCCAACCATTGCAATCTTCTCGTAGCCGTGAATGCGCTTGATACTGGAAGTATCAAAGCATCAATTGCAACAAGTTAGGGATGAATGCCCGTTTTGTAGCAATTTTCATCAGCAACGTACACTTCAATGGCCTGGGCCTTGCCTCCGTCGCGCGACGTGAGCTCCGCATCGTCAAAACCGCTATAGTTTCCATCGTCGTCAAAGAAAATGGTGTTGGCGTAGATGTTGTAGAGAGGGATACCTATTTTCTCAGCAACTGGCTCAATCATGAGACGAAAGCCACCCGACACGAGAAAGACGGCAATGCCCTTCTCCTGTAGCGTCGCCATGAGCTTCTTGATGCCTTCCACACCAGCAAAGTGTGAGCCGCATACTCCATCTACCTAAGCAATCGACAAGACGTACCTGGCGTGAACTTGGGCGGGTGCTGCTTCAAGCAGTCCTGGATATTTTGCCTTGATGGCTTGATAATTTCCAATCGAGCCGCGAGCGCGTTTTCAAACTTGACGTTTCCATTCATGGCCCTACACCACACACCACAACATCACAAGTGAACACTTTCACGCTAAACAGTCTTCCCAATTACAGCAATATTTACTTGGTGGTCCACTCATGGACGGCCTTGCCGGCGCCGCAGTGCTCGGCGAGCACGTCGATACCCTCGTCCACGCACACGGTACTATCAACATCGAAGCACACGGCACCTACAGAGCGCCAAATGTCGCTGACAGTTTCAGGTTGAGGAGACAATGTGAAGCGTTCCAGCAACGAGAGAGCACGTGAATGATGCTGATCCAGACATTTAGTTAGTAGTTATTCAAATGTACCGATTCGTCTTCTTATCAACATTTGGATAGGGTAGAGCCAGTAAAAGACATGTAGCGCTATGTAGAGAAATTAGTAAATCTTTGTGTAGTTTACCGGTGCTACCATAGATCGTGTGAGTTTGGTCAAGCGATAGGCGAGCATTGTGATGGAGGTCGAAGTTGGAGGTCGAAGTTAATTTGTGTGAGGTCGAATGTTTAAAATACCTCGTCCTACGAAAAAGGTTGGACGAATGTGGCTCGGGATGTCTCAAAAAACACAGAAATTTAGAATCGTCGGTTGTATGAATGTCTTGTCACTGAAACTGCCTTGCGTGCTTTGTGATGATCATAGGCACGGCAATTTTTTTGAATAACAGGTTTGATCAGAAATGTAGCGTTTTAATTTATTGCTGCAAGTGTACATAGTTCTACAGTCACGCTAACATCTCGGGTAATACGACTCCTCAGTGGGCAGCGGCAACTTCCTGTCGCTCCCACTCAGCAATGTTGTTCTCAATGCCGTTTACGAGTTCGTTCACATCCAGCCAGGGAATGCCATTGAGCGCCACGACTGCCGGGAGCGCCATCGTTTTCAAAAAGCATACTTGACTACCTAAAAACTTCCCGTACGTCCACGAGTCACGAAAGCAGAACCATGGACTCACACGCAACTTCTCACGCGCGTCCAACTCGCCCTGCTTGTAGTGCTCGTCGTTGAGGCGGAACACCCACTTCTTGTGGTTCGCAAACGGCTTCATTGTTTGGCTGATGTCGCTCACGTGCATGGCGATACACAGTGCGCGTACCTGCAAATATTGCGGTAGTACCGTGTCTTCCTCCTCGAGCATCTTCCACTCGTCGGCCGTCGTGTTGTTAATTCTAGCGAGCAGCTCGGGTTGATAAATAAGAGCTGTCGCGGAAATGGTTTCACGAATGACATCGAGGACCTCGTTTTGATAAACGGGTGTCAATTTGGACAAGATGCCGAACCGTGGGTCAATGACTGCCTGTACTGCAAGATCCATGTGCTTGGACTCCATCGGAGCCATAGTAGGGTACTTCTGCGCAATAGGGTGGCCGGTCTTGATCAAAAAGTCGTTGGTCAAGCCAACGTGCTCTACGTCGTGCATTACTGCTGCTAGAAGTGCCCCAACCTGGTTGTGCTGAGAGATCTTCTCACCCAATTTCGTATTCCATAGCATCATGAAAAGTGTATGTATCACGTCTGCGGCATGGGTGGCATTGTGGAACGGCATGTTGCCGTCGTAGCGCTCCTGAATATGCCTCAGGAAGCTCGGTAGGACGCTGAAGTCTACGAACTCCTCGTTGCAATCAATGCTTTCGAAAATCAGCATGCCTATAAACACGACGACGTTGCCTGGCATAAACTCCTCCAAACTAATCACATCTAGCCGTGGCGTGCCAAATGATGACTTGATAATCGGTACAACCTTGTCAATGTACTGGTCCGGAACCTCACAGCGAGTACACATTTGGCGAATTTGGTCTTCACCGAAAATCTCGCTTGGTCGACCTCGTTTTCTTGACGTGGGGGTCGCCTCATTTAGATCACTAAAGCTCTCCTCATCAATGTCGTCCCAAGAGACCGTTGTCCGGTGCTCTCCACTGCTATGCCTAGTAACAATGACATTTAATTTGGTGCAAATAGCCGCCGGGGTTGGCACTGACCGTCGGTAGTACGCCTGCGCACGGTCAAAGGTCACGCTGCGACGTTGAATGCCGGCTGAAACCGACTTTAAATAAAATGCCAGTGTTTTAATCTTGGCTTCAATTGCGCCCGTTATCGGGAGTCGATTGCTCGTCATTGACGACGTCACCTTCATGTCCTCGTAGTCGTTTCCGACCGCTGGACTCGCGCGTACGTCTGCTGTTGACTTGGTCACTGGAATATGCCTCTCATTCCCCAATTTGACCTCAAACTTGCAGCTATCCACATCGTTTTTGTCATCGATGAGGATGGGGTCTTCTTGCCTCGACTCAAACACGAAGCACGAGCTCGAGGCGGACGAAGACATCGACGAGGAAGACGACGTGGCAGGGGCTGACACAGAAGAGGAAGGGGCGGCAACCACCACCGTCTGAGGTTTTTTACGAGAGACGAAAAAGTGGTTCATGCGTCGAGTCATCGAGGCTCCAAAACTAAGGGACGTGTATGTGCTTGAGGCTCGACTAGAGCAAATCTGACCTGTGCCTGATGTCTTAACTGTGCTACAACTATTTCCACCGCCAAATACGTTCGTTCGCTCAAGCCGCCCACTCTCGTTAAAGTATCTGTCTTTCGTGTTACGTCCTCGCAAAAAGACTGCAAATGACTACCTCATCTGCCTCGCGTCCTGGAAACCTCGCACGGCTCTCCGCCACTTTCTGGGCAGAGCGGTGAAAGTGTCTCACGAAAGCGAGGGGGCGCAATGCCCAACAGTAACTCTGTACTGACATCTGTCGGTCTAGCGAGGGATACTATACGAGAAAAACCAATTTAACACCTGGCTACACCGACGCTGTCTGAAACGCTTTGTGACACTTTTGTGGCGTTCTATTTTGACTGAAGTTTACTATGACCAGAAGACCCACAGCAAGTTGCCACAGACAGAAATCGTAGAATATATGTAAAGGAGTCCTTGGAACTGCATCAGAAGTAGCGTACTGCCCTTCTGCTTCAGGAACGCTTCATTCAGCGCCAGATGGAAAAAGAGTGAACGTTGACCTCGTTCTTTTTTTCGCGAAGGCATTACATTACCAAAGCATAGTATATCTGCCGGTAAATGCAACCGTTGGACATGCGAACTTGGTGGGGCTGATTACATCCGGACACTTTGTAGACAGGCAATAGAGCTTTACGCTTTGAAGTTTTGCTCGCTGTTGCTTGTTGTTGCTCGTTGTTGCTCAATTGAGTGGCCGCAATTGAACACGTAGGGGATGTCCAGCGCAACTCGAGGAATTTTAACGCGAAGAACAGCCGCTTCTGCCTGCGCCATGAGGCGAATCCATCCAATCGAAGTAGAACCGGTCCGCCGCCAACGAAAACGTGGCAGCAGGCCGCGGTACGTGCCTGCAATGATCGCGATGATCGCGTACGGACAGGACGAGGTGGTTGAGTTTGACGGTGCGCGACGTGGTTGAGAGCAGGATCTGAACGAGCACAATTACATCCATGGTGTGCTTGTCGAGAAGGTAGCACCGTTATAGATATGGTGGGCCCCACCGAGGTACATTTTCGATCTGATACAAGTGTCGATGGATGTCTGGTATCCGAGACAGAACTGAACCGAGTGGGCCTCCCCCTTTAAAGCGATATAAGGGTGATGGGCGAATGGTTAGGGATCTTAATCTCGACAAGAGTGGAACTATTGTGAAATTCAAGTTGAAAGAAGAGCTCTTCGAAACTCCACCAAAGCTTCAGTTGTAAAATTACGCCCAGCTTAGACTGTAGCCATGACGCAAAAGATTTCGATGGTCGCGATCCCAACAAGTAGCCAGGATAGGATCGACCGGTCTTCTCCGCTGTTTGATACGGTTCGGTATCTGGTCGTCACTCACGCAGTAGGCGGTAACATTGCGTACGGTGTGTTGGTATTCGCAGAATGTCTCCTTTACCTCTTGCAAGCCGATACGAGCTTGTCAAACGTTCAAACAGTGCTGACAGAGCTGCGCACGACAACATGAGACAAGACAGCACGCCTGAAAGCCCTGGCGTGGGCGCATTTTGACCAGTACCTGAGCTGCCATGAGTCCATTTGCGCCTTGGGCACGGATGTCAGTGCACACTTGCAAGAGATTGAGGCGTTGGTGGGATATGAGACACGAAGAACAGCGACGCTTGTAACGTATGTTGGCAGTGCTCGCTTGCCTGTGACTCATCCTGGAGCTGACGGGTAAAACAAAGGCACAACTTCACATTCAGTTCCATGAATCGTTGACAGTAAACTACGCGAGCTTGAAGCATCAAAGCAGGAAGATCGCAATCTTGCTGCGCCACTTGAGCGTGTGTGTGGTATCTTCCGGCCACGAGATTGTAGCCACCGCCAACGCAGTGTACTTCGACGACTGGAGGATATGTTGACATCTGTGACAGAACAAGCATGTTTGGCGATGTTGCATGTAGTTGGAAACTTCATGATCGCAACGAGAGTGCGTGTGTTTGCATATGTTTACTCTTCTAGAAACGCGTGATTGACGTTATCAGGATTGGGACTTGGGAAAAGCGGATCCTAACCTGCTGCACTCCGAAGCTGTTTGAGTCCTCGGAACGCAAGCTGAGGATTGAAGACCAAGATGCAAGTTAGTGTACCAGCGGGGATGCTGTGAAGGAGTGTGTTGCGAGAAATACTTGTCAGGAATGCGTTGCGAGAAATGCTTGTCAGGAATGCGTTGCGAGAAATGCTTGTCAGAAATGCGTCGCTAGGCGTTTCGCAACGGTTTTGTGGGGCTTTATTTGCGAGCTATCAATGGTCCGCCTAGCAATGCGTCGGCGACTTTCAATGCAATTGCGTCCGTCAAAGCTGAGCGCACACGCAGCAAGCGTGGGGTGTCTTTTCAAAGCCACGTAATAGACCTGAAAAACTATTACCGGATCAAGTCTGTCAGTCAATGACATCCGAGCGTTCTGCCAAGTATTCCAACTAGTCATGAAGGTGCTTCCCTCATTTTAGATCAAAATTGCCCTTAGGCTCTTATTGCATCCACACTAAAGCCGATAGTGATGCCACGCCCGCAGGCTAAAGTGACCCTCGCAAAGGAGCTGCAGAATAATCATTTATACTTTGGAGAATCAGCAGCAACAACTGATACTACTGTCGCTCAAACCGCTCTGGCATTTCCGATGCCAGCAGCATTTACAATCGTCGAGTCTTCAGACCCTCCCTCACCAGTTTACCTTTAATCACAGAAGTCAAGGGTGGATGTGAGGGACTATGCTGGTATTATGCCCGCAGTGTCACTGACCCAATGGCGGTGGCATTGGCCAAATTTTCTCCTAAATCCGTACGCAGTTTGAAGAGCCTTAACGTTAGCATCAGTTTAAATGAATAGAAATCGCAGCCTCTGAGTGGTATCCAGGCGTGCGTGTACTATGTTGTCCTGATGTCATGTTTTGCTGAACCATTTGTGTAGTTACTCCTCAAAATGCGCTTCTTCTAATTGGCTCTAGACGATCTCATAACGGAAAGCATCAGGACGCAGCTTAAAAAAATGGAAAAGAATCTCATCAAGGTCAAAAATTGTGAGTAGGCGACACAGTGCGGGCCACTTCTTACGCTACTGAACTAAAACAAAGCACTACACTCAGCTATATCGACTTGCATCTCAACGGCAGATTGCACAATAATTACTTGCGCTGGCTTTACGATTTAGCTAATCTCCCGACGAATAAATGTACTCGCACATATGTTTGGAAACAGCAACACATGGTGGGCTTTGTAAAATGTCACGTGTCGTGGAAAAAGCTGATTGGCAAATGCAACTGATAACAGAGTGATGGTTGAAGAAGATGATTGGCTGGATCAGATTCCGAGATGCACGAATGTCATCCCTCCTTCTGTAATAATTCTCTCTTTCTAACATCGGATGGGCGACATCGTTGTTCCTGCAGAAACATTTCCCCCACTTAAAAAACAGGCTTGAGGCGGAACAGAGAATATAAGAAGAAAAATGAGTGTGTCCAGCTCAACCTTGTTGCTTACTGCGGTGCTGATGACGATCATCACGCCCTCCTTTGTGTATGCTCGAACGATGGACGTGGATGAGTGGCCATCTACTGAGGTACGTCAAACTACTTTCTGCTTTTATTTCCGTCTATAAAAATTGTCGATTACATTTTCCCATTTTTCTTTCCTTTATAGAATGACCACACAAAGCTACAGATTGTGCTGCCTGAGAAGCTTATAAAGAAGGACGGATACGCGCATAAGGACGCACTCTTTGGCTACCCAGCGTACTCGATGGGTTCGTTACAAACACAGCTATTGTACACGAATGAGTCTGGCTGTGACGAGATTGAGAACAGTGGCTGGGAGCCACCCTTTGCGCTTATGCTGGACCGTGGAGATTGCCATTTTGTAGAAAAGGTGCGTCATGCCCAGCACGCTGGCGCACGGGCTGTGCTTATTGCAGACCACAAATGTCTGTGTACAGACGTGGAGTGTCTTCGCGAGACGGGCGATGACTATTGTGAGACAGTGTTGCCATTTATGGCAGACGATGAGTCGGGAGGTGACATTTCTATTCCCAGTATGCTGATTCGTAAGAGTGATGGTGATGTCATCAAACGCGAGATCGCACAGAGCAAAGGCGTGAGCAAAGGCGTGAGCAATGTGATGGTCAAGTTTGATTGGGGTATTCCTTCACCCGATGGTCGTGTGGAGTGGACGCTGTGGCAGAGCGCTTGGGATGAACAGTCTTCGTCGACTTTGGCTAATTTGGAAGAGATGGTCACGGCGCTGGGCGATCGCGCCTTCTTTACACCGCACTTCGTGTCGTACAACGGATCTAGGTTGGGTTGCCACGAAGGGGATGGAGATTTGATTACGCTGGATTGTGGCAATATGTGTCTGAACAAAGGTCGCTACTGTCTGTTGGACCCATCGCCTTTTCACGACCGCTCGACTGGCGCATCTGGGGCCGATGTGGTGGTAGAGAATTTGCGTCGCAAGTGTATTTGGAAGCTGGAAAATGAAAAGAACCCAGGTGTTGGGCTGAAGTGGTGGAAGTACGTGAAGGCATCTGGAGAAGCTTGCGGAAAGGATGAGAACACTTTTCGCGGGCGATCTTGTCCTGAGAAGGTTATGAAAGAGTTGGGCATTGACATTAAGGCAGTGGGGGAGTGTATGCAACCTTACGGTATCAACGTGGATAAAGCGAACCTTTTGCTTGAGGAAGAACTTAAGGAACAGACTGCGCTCCAATTGTTGCAGTTACCGGCTCTTTACGTGGACGGAGTGCACGCTCGCGGCCGTGTGGACCCCACCAGTATATTGGGAATGATATGCGCTGGTTATGGTGTGCATGACCCTCCTGAGGTGTGTTCGTGCGCTAGTCAGTCATCAGCGGGCCTCTTGGATTGCGTGAAGGTGGGCAGTCTTGCGAATGCTGCCGCTATTACGGGCAATGGCGGTTACTCCTTCACGTCCCTGGTGGTCGTGCTGCTTGCATTTGTGGGCATTGTGGCTGCAGGTGGCTTTATCTATTGGCGTCGTACCCAGCGCCACATGCGTGACCAGGTGCGCAGTATTTTGGCGGAATACATGCCGCTGGAGGACCAGTCTATGAATGACGACTACGATTTGGAAGACGAAAAGTCTCGTATGCTGCATCCAGCGGAGCGCGCTGCTGCTAAAAGCCCACGCGGCTATATGCCTTCGCGAGGTTTCTTAGAGGAAGACGAGGAGGAGGGCATGTAGGCATCTGATCAGTCGATTAAAGAATATGCTGAGCGACATGTTTTGTTGTCTTTTCATGCACTTACGCCGGAGAGAAGTATGAACGAAAATTGGAAACACAGAGGACACGTGGAACGAAGACGATGTTCCGGCACTTATAAACTTTTGAATTTTGCATGACAATAAAAAATAAAAATAAAAAATATTAAAAATAATACCGTGCAGTATTTTTAACTTTTTGCTCTAGTGCACTAACTATTGTTCTACAGTATAGGTATCCTTGTAACACTTCGAAGTATCTTGCGTTCTTATATCGAATTTCCATATATTGCGATTTACGTCTATACAGCTCGCTGTTGACGGCGATTCTGCAATCGTTTCTAATCTACTGGCAACTCAAGCAGCGCACACAGACAGATGCATCAAAAGTATTAGTCTTATGAGCCTTTTCCAATGCCTGTCGAGCTCGCTGCTCCATCTTGGCCAACTCGATGCGCAAAGGTGCGTATGCTAAGTTACCAAGGTAAGCACTGAGCAGTAGCCGCATGATTCTTCAATCTAGCATTGACACTTGCGAGGCATGCCACAACTCAATGGACGTTGATTGCACGTTCGTAGCCTCTTCTCATGCAGTGGCTGAGTCGCAGCTTTCTAACACTACCCAATAGCATTGATAGTCAAACAGTAGCCTTTGATAGGTTATAGTTTTGCGCCCAGCGAAGTTAATGAACAGCAAGGGACAAAAAATACTTATAATGAGTATTTTTTGTAATTTGAAAAAGGAAATTTAATTAGACCATATGTCGAGAAAGTTTAGGTGGTAGGTGTGTTGCGAATATCAAGTTGAAGGCTGCGAGAGCTCTATAAGCAATTGTGTTGAATACCTCCAACGCTAAGTGGCGTATTGTCACGCTTATTAATAAGCACAATTGTAGCGAAGCTGTAACGGGGCTAGAACGTACCGTCACTAGCTTACACGTGCGCTTGAGGAAGACTCAAGCCCAAGTATTAGGTATTAAGTAAATTTAACTCTGATTTTTATTTTGGTTTTAATTCGTACTAATTACGAAGATTTTAGTCGTAATAAATACGACAGTGTTCCCGCCTTTCGGGAACCACACAATTTCAGGTTGATTTATCATTGGTCCATATTGGGGACTTTAGGCCCAATAATAAACCAATAATAAATTACCACGCTGTGCCTGCTATTCGGGCCCAGCACCTGTCTACATAAGTATTTGTTTACTTGTGTTAACTATGTGTGTAATGTAGCCCATTACATCACCCCCTTCTCATGACAGCACTCACCAACCGTGAGTGCTCAACTGTCTAAAACCCGTCGCTCACAAATGAACAAGCAATGTCCGGAGACCCAACACCCAATCCAGCAGCACTCCCAATAACCATCAGCGGGAATGCAACAACCAGCATCATGGCGCGGCAGCTCATACCTTGGTCGCTGTACGACTTGTCCGGAGCTCACGCTCCGGACTCACTGGACATGATGCGGGAATACTTCCGCCGATTTCGAAAACTGCGCGGGAAAGGTCTTGATGGAATCGAGCATGAAGCTCTACAACGTTCTTGGTGCGCCTTCATCCAACGTTGGAATCGGATGCTCGAGGATGGTAGCAGCTTCCAACTATGGCTCGCCAATCGAGAGGAGCTTCGCGCCGATCACTCCATCGGCGCGCTACGCGAAAGAGTGTGTGAGGATGCTTGGAATGTGGACCGTTTCTGCTTCGTCCATGTCAATGAAGGATGCCGGTCTTGTGACTCGACTCCACGCCCAACTCATGACGAATGGCGACGACACATCGCTGAGTGTCCACTCAGCGATCGCGAACGAAGTTGGATTGCAAAGTATGAGCGAAGTCTGAGCGAACGGAGAAGCGCAGTTATTCGTGGTGCGCCTCGCTGGCAGCACCACTCGCGACAGCGGAGTCAATCTCCGCGGGATCATCAGCGCAGGGCAGCGACACGCTCGCTTGTCCGTCCTGCTTCGCGATTCTCGCCTCGCAATCGTGATATGTATTCACCGCGACGTTCTCGTTCACGGCGTCGTTCTCATTCGCGACGTCGTTCTCGTTCGCGTCATCGTTCCCGTTCCCGACAACGTGAACCTCCTTACCGCTCTCGTTTGTCACGAGAGCGTTCGCGTGCTCGCCCGCCTTGGAATAGTCCGACTTCGTGGCTTCATACGCCAGAACCACATCTGGAACGTCACGAAGGAGTGAGGAACGTGGTTCCCATGTATCCTGCTCGGGAGGGAATCCAAGCCAACGTACTCGGTACCTACGCACGGATGGAACCGCACGCTTCTCATGAGCCGACTGCAGTAATGGTTGTGGAGGTTCCTCGTGACCCACAATGCGGTCTACAATCCAGCGCACCTGTCCCTCCGCATCAACAAGCGGAGTAGGGCCCTCACGATGGTAGTGCTGGCGTCCTGGTTGCTCAGGACGATATTGATCAGGCCGTGAACATAGCTGCCGATGCTCAGCTGGAGGCTGAGGCTACCAGTGAACGTGCTGCCCGGGCGGAGAAGACTTCGAGTGAGACCCGGCAGTCGAACCGTGAACTGCTCGAACGGATAAGGATTCTGGAGCGCCAGATGCTTGGTCAGGTTCAGACGGGATCGAGACCCCGCTCCATGTCATCGGCGCGTCGAGCGCGACGGGAAGGCCGTTCGACTTACGAACCCCTGAAGCCGGCGTCGGAGCCAAACCGTGAAGCGTAGCCGGACGATATTCCTTCAGCCGCCCGACATAGAATGTCGGGTGGAGTCGCAGTGACGAGGGGACGTCGAGTGTATAAGCGTCACCAATTGCCTTCAGAACCTTGAATGGACCGATGAAGCGTGGCGCGAGTTTACTCGCGCCCAGATTAGTGACTGCTGAATCCCTTAAACCTTCCGTCGATAATAATACACGGTCACCTTTCTCAAACTTGATCATGTTCTTTCTTCCATGTTTGTCAGCGTTCTCCTTCTGTGTAGGTCTACAGCAGTTTGTAGTGCGTCGCGTACAAACCTGGTGATGGCTTGACGTTGGAGTATAAATTCCGACACGGCCATGTCATCAATTGGTCGCGCCGACTCAATCGGCGCGTAGTTGGCAGTAGGGGAACGCTTACCCGAAGACGGGTCAATCAATGTCTGCGCAGTCCATCGAGCTAATGGGGACGCCACGTCTGATGGCGTCAAAATGGCCGTCTTTGCCTTGGATCGTGTTACTGCATTCGCGCTCAAAATACCGTGAGCTGCACTCGATCCTTGTTTATCACCTTTATCCCCCCCCAGAGTGGAGCCACTAGGTGTTGTGGGTCGCCCCACGGCCAGGACAGTAGGAACACGAGGGTGACGAGCCGAATTCACAAAAAATGGCGTCAACCCTGTTGACGCGTGTACGGCGTTGTTGAGTGAGAACTCAGCGAGTGGTAAAAATGCACTCCAACTTGTAAATGACGTAGCATAACTCCGAAGAATGTCTTTGAGGACCCGGTTCACGCGCTCGGTTTGCCCATCCGTTTCCGGATGGGCCGCAGTCTACATCAGCAGTTTTGTCCCGAGGAGCTCGAAAAGTGATGTCCAAAATGCGGACGTAAATCGCGGATCACGGTCCGAAACAATGTTTTCTGGAAGGCCATGATGACGGAACACCGCGTCGATGAAGTGCGCCGCGGTCTCTGCCGCGGTGACCTTAGCGTGAACAGGCACGAGATGTGTCATCTTGCTGAATCTGTCAACAAAGACCAAGATGCCCGTTCGAGCTTGGCTATCGGGCGCAAGCCCGAAGATAAAGTCCATCGAAACTGATCTCCAGGCCTCTGCTGCAATTGGCAACGATCGCAAGGGAGCCTGTGACGATGGAGATGGCTTCACACGCTGGCATATTTCGCACGTTCGGATCCAGTTGCGTACCCACTTATACATGTGGGGCCAGAAGAAGTCTTGAGACACAGCCGCGAAAGTCTTTTCGCGGCCTAAATGGCCGCCAGCAGGAGAATCGTGATACTCGTGAATGATTCTTGCACGCAAATCCATGTCATTGGCAATCACCGTGCGAGGAGAATCGAATTGGTCGATGCTATACAGAAGCAAATCGCCATTTAAACTGTATCGATGAATATGGTCGCGCTTGGTACGGGATAATGCTCCCAGTGCAGCATCGCTGGGAGCACGCAGATACTCGATAATGTCTGCATAATCTGAGTCACCCCTATACGCTGCGACGATCTCATCAAATAAACACGGCTCGGGTGTAACCCGAGTTAAGTTCAGCGATACACACATTGCACATCGGTCATCATCGTCCTCGTCATCAGTAGCCTGGCGACTCAGAGCAGTCCAAGTATCGTAGTCGGGACGTCGTGACAAGGCGTCAGCGAGAATATTGGTCTTGCCCCCTGGCTTGTAATGCACGACGAAGTTGTACTCAGAGAAGAATGAGAGCCATCGTGCCATCCGTTGGGACAGGTGTGGGCTCTTCATCGCTGTGCGCAGCGATGCATGATCGGTGTACAAAGCAAATGTACGTTCACCAAGGAGATACACGCGAAACTTAATGAGTGCATAGCGCATCGCTAATAAGTCCTTGTCGTAAACCGGATAGTTCTTCTCAGCTGGCTTCATCTGTCGCGACTGATAACTCACGACTCGTTCACGGCCCTCATCATCAAATTGCATGAGGGCACAACCGATTGCAAAACCACTGGTGTCGCAAACCACGTGGAACGTCTTGGAGTCGTCTGGTAGGACCAGGACTGGCGCTGACACCAGGCTCTTCTTTACTGCTCGGTACGTTCTAGCCCCGTTACAATCAGGGTACCGGTTAACCGGTATCAAAGGGAGTTGATCATGGCCGCTCATTGATCGACCTGGCCCCTCGTTGGTAGACCCGGGTCCCTCATCGGTCGACCTGGGTCCCTCGTTGGTCGACCCGGTCCCTCATTGGTAGACCTGGGTCCCTCGTCGGTCGACCCGGTCCCTCGTTGGTCGACCTGGGTCCCTCATCGGTCGA